ACATATATGCACACTGCTGAAAAAGTTAAAATGTTCTAACTATGTTAAAGAAAAAAAGCTATTATTATAGCATAATATCAACAGCCCCTTATGTCATTGTTATGAAAATGAGGCATCAGATAATCATACAGGTGTCATTCATTTGGCATATGACAAAGATTAAGCCATACATTTATCACAGGTCTTTTACATATAACTTTATACTTAAATATTTCAGTCTTTGATATAGGAAGTTCTGGTCAACCTTCAACAGTGAAAGTCAACAAGATGGACTAATTTCATTTTCACAGTATAATAACAAAACCTAACGAGGAAGCTGTTTTAATAGTGTATAAACGATTTCACTACTGGATCATGAAGTTTATTACTTTATCTTCAAGTTTTGGCTAACATCTTGATAGCTTTATATTCTACAATTATATTGCTCATATCCGAACCTTTATATAAGTGATATCATGAACCTAAAGATGTGTTCCAGAATACAAAGGTATTATAAGCACATGAAAACTCCTAAATATGCTACTCACTGACATCCAAAAGAAATATTAAGGATTGAGCATCCTTGAAAGAGAGCAAAAACACACTGTAGCTCCTTCATGATATGTTTTATTAGTTTGTTCCAAACAAAATTTGTACTTCAGACAACAAAAGATCTTCTGAGTAAGAATTGAGAAAAATGTTGAGTTTTTGGGATGTCTCACTAAATTGATATTCCAAGAATAAGTCTTCCTCCACATTTTCAATACCTGTGAGAAGCACTTGACAAGATAATTAAGTCCATTTGCTTATTAATGTTCTTTTAATTATTTAAATTTTTCACTTTCTGAAATTATTTTGTTTCTTTCTTATTTATCAATTTTCTGATTTTTATCTTATTTCTATGTTAAATGTGTGTACAATAGCTGGTAATGAATCTTAAATTCTTAAGTCTAGAACTTATTATAAAAGACTGAATGTTAACTTCTAACAGTAACTGTTTGTCAACAGAAAAATTTTATGTTAAGAGGTTAAATTTAAATAAAAGATAAAGATAATATACAAGTATGTATGTAACTAAAGATACATTTGTAATTTCACTAAAAGATACCTAAAATACAAAATGAGGCAAATATACAATTATTCTAAAAACATACAAACAGAAGAGGCAAAAAAAAAAGATTTTCCTCTTCTAAAACATGCATTATTGTTCATGCTGATATGTAGTATATAATCATTCCAAAATATAATTTGTATATTAATCCAGCATTCATACACAGTTTGTAATATTAATATTCCCTAAAAATAAGGATATCAATACTCTACCCAAATTTACCTTTCGAAAACCTAAAAGCAGAACTCTTAAATAGATACATTCATCTTGAGACTAGAATTAAATTCTCCTTTCCATTAGCTTTTTTTCTAGTTAACAACGTTTAATACACAGGTAGTGTACTATACAGCATCACAAAAAAGGCTACTTTTTTTGGTCTAATCATTCAAGTGAATGATTTTGACACACGTTCTTGATTCATTTTTAGATTGTAAAAATATGCACTGTTTTATCTCAAATTGCATCAAAATGTATTATATCCTCTTACACAAGAACATGACTGGAAGCTACAAAATGTTAACACTGAACATTCTGCACTGTTCATTGGTGGTTTTCTCTCAACTAAGTTACATTTTCTCTTGTTTTCTTGGATTTTCTGTAAACCCATATTTGTACATGATATTTTAGATACATTTAATCAGCAATTTTTTCTTTTAAGTTTAAAGTTCTTTACGAGCAACAAAGTTGAATGCAGCATAAGCCATGTCTTCTTATGTTTATTGATTTAAATATGGTAAGACAACATAATATATTAATAAATAAAAGAAAAAAAACATGATACAGAAATATTTTTGACTGCATCCTCTATCATCAGTGACATAACTAACTTACGAAAATGCACATATTTATGTGTTATAATAATCTAAAAAATTGGTACACAATAGAATACGCATGTTAACATATCCACCCAGTTCATAATACAGCTAAATTTACAAATAACATACAATCAATTACGAAAAGTAAATAACATTTTCCTGAACTGAAAATGTATTTCTGATAGATACATACTAACATGCAAATGATCATGCAGCAACCCTCCACCAATAGGAATGCAACACTACCCCTATTGTAACTAATGCCCTCTCTAATCATACACATATTAACCACTTTGAGATCGGTAATAGCCATTAAAACCAAACCACACCAGAAGTGGAGAGGTAAGTATCTATCAAAAATATGTTTTCAGTTCAGGAAAATGTTAACTTCCAATACGATATCTTACCTCCTATCACAAATAGTTATAATCCCACACTGAACTGGTGGAGGGCCAGTGATAAGTTTGATCTCCCTTTAAGAAGCACCCAAAGAAAAACCATGGGGTGTGAGAAGGAATTAAAAACAACACACCATGTCCGAGTCAGGTACACTCTTTGCCTTTTATTAATGTGTCCCAAAAAAGGGCAGAAACATGGAGGGACCCAAGAAAAAAAAAACAGAAATAATGGGACCCTGGTGTAGAGTAGATAGGGTGTGACAGACTGTAAATGCAAGTTTGACCTCAACCAAAACATTGCAGCATCTGGAATTGTACATCAGATGTATGGTACAAAGAGGGTCCTCTACCTTTCACCTCAAAAACAGGTACCAACAGCTAAGAAGAGCTTCAATACCAAGAACTCGCCTCCACATGCTCACACCTCCAACACCAGATCTACCAGGAACCGATATACAGCAGACGATAGGAAGGTGGAGAGCCTAGGTGGGTGTTCTTCTCCAGTCCAAAACCTGGCAGCACTGGGAATTTGTCATCCAGTTTGTGATAGGAGGAGGGTACCCACCTTTACACATGCAGGAATTCATGTGTCTTGTTCTGCTACAACCAACACCAGATCCACCAGGAACTGACATACAGCAGAAGGTAGGAAGATGGACCGCTATTTGGGGTTGCAAATGGGAAGGAAGCAGGGTGGAGAGGACAGGAAATGGAGAAGGAATGAAATAACATGGACAGGACAGGCGACTGGAACACAGAAGCGATGGGGTTGCATCTCCAGTCTAAAACCTGGTGGCACTGGGAATTTATCATCCAGCCCACAGTAGGAGGAGGGTACCAACCAAACACATGTGAGGATTTATGTGGTTGGTCCAGCTCTAACCAACACCCAATCCCTGGGATCTTTCTGGCAAGAACTCCCATACTCAACTAGAAGATGGAGG